AGGATATGAAAATATAAATACAAAATTTCAGAAACTAATTATTCATTTACTATATATTATACTAATAATATTCTAATGATTATTTATTCTTGTATACGGGAAGAAGCCGGTATTGAAATAATCCGTTGTCCCATACATCAATGTCATGTAAAATAATCTTACACTCCAAGTGTGACATCTTTATTAATTTGAATAAAATATCCGGATTTTTTTATGGATACATCGTATATGAATGTCGGTGTAAGATAACAAAATATTATATACAGCGTTCTACAGGTTACCTAAATAACTTACTAAGAGGCAAAAATATCTAACTAATTCTTACATATAATTACTAATAACTTCGCAAATCAAGTGGTTAAATATTTTCATAAATAAAATAATGACTGTTAGCTAATGATGATCTTAAAATAATATAAAATGAATAGATTTGCGTGCATAGTAAGTGGTCGGTTGGTTATTTAACTCCGACCTGATAACACTTGTTAATGTAATTCCATAAAAAATCAAATTTAAATCTCCAGTCTTATCGAGAATTTAGAAATTTTCTAGGCAACCGTTGCATTACATGAATAACATTAATTTGCAGTCGATCAATGTAATTATAGTGATACAAGGCTAATGTCAGCGGTGATTATCGCCGAGAATATATTATAACGAAATTGAGTTATTGATCAATAAAATCCAAGATGTCATTAATCAAACTGATTAAAATAGGCTGTGCTGTGCAAGGAAGTGAAATTTATAAACTAGAGAAATTCTTGTAGCAGGTCTAATAGTACGGAATATAAATTTCACAATTTTATACACATATATAAATTTATGCGAAATTTGACTATTGACTCTTCAATAACATCTCGTTTCTTGTGTGACCTCAAGATAATAAAATAGATATAATTTAATAAATTACATCCTTTAATAAATATCGGAAAAACTATAATATAGTTCACCATAAATTACCTTCCTTGTAACAGGTGAAAGCTGGTATAATGAAGATATGAAAACTAATTGTACCAGTATTGGTTGACCTCAACGTTGAACCTATTTTTATTGAGATTCTCATTATGTTAACTATAAAAAACTTAGCAGCTTTAAATTTTTAATTAATTTATAATTATGCCTTCGTTTAAATTTAAATAGGAATGAAAGAATGGACGCAATATTAATGATCGAAATAGAGTTTCAAAACGTTTGATACGAGTAATAAATTAACTTTATATTTCGTAAAGGCAGCCCAGAAAAAAAGATCAATTTGGCTAAAGATAAAGCATTATTTAAATACAAATAATTTATAGAGCTATAAAAGTTAAAAATAATAAAATAATTAAAAAAATATATCGTGAGGAAACAACTCGAAACGAGAAAATTTTTATTTAAGCATAAAAAGAGCAAATATCTGACAAAACAACAGCAGAAAAAACGAATTGCAGGAAGTTGCAAAGGAAGTATAATATATAAAAGCCAAAAAGAAATAACCATTTTCTCATACTTCAACCCCAAAAATTGCCTTCGTACAAAATGTCAAATTGAATAATTTGTATGTTCAACAACTCATACTATATGATGTAGTATGAAAGGTAAAGTAATTTTATCTAGCTATGCGCAATCTTACATTCACATTGTATATTCAACTGTCCTCAAAATTTAGGTTTCTTTGAGGAAAACCGTGATAATTTTGATTACATTTTAATCGTATATTTAGTATTAATTAGTATATTTCAATATTAGATTAGTGTATGTTACAAAAAATAAATTTATGTGATGTATGTTGTTTGGTTTTACAGTATAATTACTGCTGATAAGCTTATATTATGTATTGCGATGCTGAATGGGATATTTCTCTCGAAATGCATCTACTACAGCTCAACAGTTTAGATTTTTATTTATAAGTATAACACAGCAACACATGATCGGGTACCGCTAGTAGCTTATAAGAGAATTTATTAACGAATAATTATGATATAATAAGTGCTATTGATTGTCAATTAAGATTTAGCAACAAGATGATAAGTCTTCGATTCTCATAATGAAGATGTTTTTTTTGATAACTTTGCGTTTTAATAATTTTGCGTCACATTAAAATATGTAATTTAAATAATGGAACATTTCAAATATGTCATCCTAACAATTTTTACAAATTTTTGAAAATGGTTTTAGATGTGTGACATATAAGGGGGCGTCCATTAATCATGTCGGGTTTTTATGGGGAGGGGGGGTTAGACAAAAAATCACGTGTATATATATAGTAAGATATCACGTGTATTTATTTTTTACCTGATTTCTTTTTTATTTCAAATATTTTCAAAAAGAAATTAAAAATTCTACAGTTTTTTCACGTAACTAAAAATACACGTGATGTTTGCTGGAGGAGGGGGGGGTTATTTTGAATATCACCATGTATCACCAAGGGAGAGTGGGGGTCCAAAAATCCTCAAAAACTCGCTCACGTGATTAATGGACGCCCCCTAAGAAGGCAGTCTCAAAACAGTTTGGGCAGACGAGCAGATCGACGAAACAAACTCATAACATTTAAATACGATCGTCGTCCCGTCAAATTAAATTTTCTAATCTATGTCATGTGAGCAACTATGCTTGAGAAGTTTTGATATCCGTCATGGGCTGTTATTCTGACAGATTTCAATTAATTTATCTGTACATACGGATTAGACACGGTATTATAGTATTGTACGATCAGCGGATTACACCGCGCTTCGTCGTTTGTCTGTCCATTGTCTTCTGCTTGGATGGAATTACAGTTTGATGAAATATTAAAACGTAAACCGATGTAAAGATTTTTGTGAGAATTAATAATTCTCTTGAACGTAACGTATTGTTTTGGTAATTCAATACCAAAGAATGCGGATGCGTTTTAGTTTTGTATGAAACTCTATCCGTGAAATATTGTTCCAAGGTGGTCCATCGATAAATCGTCGAAGAAATAAAATTACCAGATTAAAAATTACTGTTTAGTTACTTAGTATTCGATTACTCCTAATGCATTGAAAATGTGAATAACCGTGAAAAAAACTAATGCCGTATACTTTAGCGCAAGTCTAACGAATAATAAGTAATTTTAATTTTGATTTATTTAAATATAAACGACAAAGTGAATTCAAAGTTACAGAAACTAAGTGCAAATTTTTGTAAATCAAAGACATTTTTTCATGGAAATAAATAACGAATTCATTTTGATCAGTGACTTTTTGTCATCTTTCAAGTAGCATCATTACCGTTTCCACAAAACTTCTGGTTTTTATTATCACAAAACTGAATCAGGTAAAACATGACACCATCATCATTATTAAACTCTAGAAGTTTTGTAAAAACTAAACTAAACTAAAAGTAATCAAATGGTGTAAAGTAAGTACTATATGATGGATGTGGCAAAGCATCCCAACTAATTGTAAGCTCCAATAATAATTGCCGAGTGTATGAAGATTTATGTTGTCAATAATGAAATAAATAACCATTTTGATTTGGCAGTTCAGGCCGCTTTTTTTGAACTGCATTGTTTAATATCGTTAAATGTTTATATCAGAATTGATTGAAACTCATCATTATGAAAGTTTTTCATCTTTGAGTGAAAAATTTGGAAAATTCATCATAAACGACGTATAACTTTTGTGAGCTTAAGCTGCCTTTTTAACTCTGCAGTTATTAAAAGCAAAACATGACAAAGAATTTCGATTTGATTTTTAATCTTTCAACGAACGCCAAACGAAAACTACACAATCGATAAAAAAAACTCTTTTTTACGGATTGACTGCTGAATTATCTGCTATACAATAAAAAAAGTAAATTTACATTTGGGCTGCACCAGCAAACTTAAAAAATTCAATTGAAACCATCTAGTTCATCTTAGCCGCACTTAGTTGCCAACCTAATATATACATGTAATATACATGATATTTAAAAAGTAGCATTAATAATTGCTTATTAATAATTGATTGCTCCTTTCTAATTTACCATTAAAAAGTTTTTTGGAGAAAGCGTAGACATTAGCACAGATTTTATTTAAATAATCTTAATCATTGAATGATTAATCAGCACAAACAATACAACGAGCACATTACTACATAGTCATCCAGTTGGCTTTCCCTGATACAGCAAAAATCATAAACTATACTTTTAATCTAATGATCGATACAGCAACGCCTTGAATAGACATCCATATCTTCTATTTACGAAAAAAAAAATAAGACAGAACAACGAACAACAGACGTCAATAAAACCATTAAAAAAATACTGCGATTTTATTGCTACGGAACTTTGGTCAGATAGACTTATATAAAAAAACGTTCTGAGGTTCTAAAAAATATCACCGATCAAAAATTATATACAGGCATTGCTTCGCGCGAAGCTGGAAGATTGCGGAGATAACAGAAAAGACCGCGGTCATAAATCTGAAAGAAGAGTTCGCTTTGTGAAGCCACAAGGTTTGCACAGACACCCGCGCCCGCATAGGAGGAAGACGAATAGACAGAGAGCTAGTAATTAATAATTGTTACTAATACTACTACCTACTGAACGGGGGAGTGATGTGGCAACACGAGTTCATAAGTTCGAACTTGGCTTTGAAGTAAAAAACAAAATTATATAATTGAAATGGCATTTTTGCATTTGTAAAACGATCAGAGATTTTAATACAGTTTTATAATTTTCCACAAAAAGCTTATTTTTGATAAATATTTTTCCAATATTGGTGACAAAGACAGACAGACTATATTGAACTCTTGTGAAAGCAAACAGCACAAAAACATGTATACATAGAAAAAGATGACATTTTTCCACTTGTCTACAAAATTTTATAGAATTTTTATTACAAAGTGCAGCGAAAGAGCAGGTTGCTACTTCTACTATTCTACACGTAAAAATTTTGCTAACAAAGCAAAACTTTAAACAATACAAACAAAGTAAATATCTTTTTTCTTGTGTCAGGTTAAGATAATAAACTTCTTCGATATGGTCCCTATACTATAATATAGTTTACCATAAATTACCTTCCTTGTAACAGGTGAAAGCTGGTATAATGAAGATATGAAAACGAATTGTACCAGTATTGAATGACCTCATCGTTGAACCTATTTTTATTGAGATTCTCATTATGTTAGCTATAAAAAACTTAACTTTAAATTTTTTAATTTCCGTTTAAATTTAAATAGGAATGAAAGAATAGACGCAATATTAATGATCGAAATAGAGTTTCAAAACGTTCGATACGAATAGTCTGTAATAAATTAACTTTATATTTCAAATTTTCGTAAAGGCAACTCAGAAAAGAGAACAATTTGGCTAAAAAGTAAACATTATTTAAATGCAAAAATAAATATAAGAGTTAAAAATGAAGGGTACAATAAAATAATTAAAAAAATATATCGTGGGGAAATGTCGAATTAAAAAAAACCGTACCCTCTCCATATTTCTTTACATACTATACTTTGCTCATCATTCTTGACAATCTCGACAAAACTACAAGAATTTTAAGAAATTTGGCATAATTTGACTCATTTAGCAATCTAAGTATTCGAAATCTAATTTAGCAATTAGGCAAAATTAATTTAGCAATTAAATCAAACCACTTTCCCACCTCGTCTCTTTTACAACCATAGTATTTTCCGAATTATCAGAATAAAAATAGGTTGAAAGATTTCCTAGTCACTACTTCGTATAGTGTCCAATGGAAGTATTCTATAGTTTATCTCAAATTATATACACTATAAATAATATAATAATTGTATAATGATAAAAACAAGAAACTAGACAGTATCACTTCTAACTATCACCAAGGATCCCGGTGATGCACGGATTGATTTTCGAATCCATATATTCAAAATTAATTTATATTTAAAAAAAAATATCTTTATATTTTGGAAAAATCTTTAAACTATATTGTTACATGAGTATTTATCTTACTAAAAACTAAGTCCCTCAGCTCTCTTCCATAGTTACTCTTTTCCGAGACTTTGCTGAAACTTGAAGATCCGTTCTCATTCACCCACGGGTATTAAGAATCTCACAACCCGCTCTCTATAAACCATGGCATAAATAAAATTATCTCATATAGGAAGGAACAAAGTGGGTTTTGTGTTATGGAACGCGATGGATTATAGTTAAAAAGAATTTTGTCGCTGTAATATGTCCTTATAGTGATATACAACTTGCTTCCAGAAGAATTTGTCTCTATTTTTGTGATATATGGACATAACTTTTGCGGTAACCGTGGTAAAATTGTATATGGATATCGTATTGGAGCAGTAATTAATCTCTTAACATAAATGTATACTACTCTAAACTATAATCAAAATATTTTGTGGATATATGATATCTTATAATTCGTAAATGTAGACGTGTAGGAATAAAACATTTATTATAAAATCAATATAAATAATGATAGTTTCCTTTATGACAGAAATCCTATTCAAGTCATCATAAAAACTTTATTAATACCGTCCCACGCTTGATTCCACGATTTCTCCATAATTCAGTATTATTTTGTGATAAACACATCAAATTAAATCCACAAATTTCAGATTCTTAAGCCTGTCCCGAAAAGCATGGACTACAAATCAAACCTTCGGATTGAAGTGGCTTCCTCAAAAAAATCCAGCAATAAAAAACAAATTTCGGCTGTCGAACAGTCCCAATATAGAGACATCAGGTTGTTTATCGAGACTTTTATTTCACGCAAATATCGGAATGTGTTTATGAAATACTAAGAAATCCGAACACCTGCAGCGGCCTCGGCCGGCATTCGGTGTCCTCTGCCGGTCGAATGGTACTTAGTCACTCCGCCGTTAAGATAAAGTAGACAGATTAAGTTATAACCTGATTTATAAGCCAATAATCCTTAAGCCACAATTCCAAGATACAATGCGCCTTTTAATACTCTTCGAATAATATATTTTGTTGTTTATTTCGTTGCCCAACACGATGGGGCTGCAGATATAGTACAGAGATATATCATGAAGGTGTTAAATTTATTATAAAAACAGTAAAAAATCAAATTAGGAAATTGTTGAATAATTTTTTTAAATCCATGATTGGAGGTAGAAAACTTCGAAACAAAAATGTTTCACCGATGGAATATTGTTTGGGTAAGAAAATAGTATAAGTTTTATATATGGTCAAAAAACAGTTCTAAACTTGAATCTCAAGCCATTCTGCACAAGCCAGAATAAATTCGTGATCAACAAAAACCTGTCCAAATCCTATTATTACCATTCAAACTCAATAGTGCTAATAAAAGCAGTCTATATTTATTTTATAATTATCTTTATTCTTGTTCTGACAGCCTATGCCTTAATGCTTTCGAACGTTTTTATCGTCGCAAAATGAAGAACTGCTTATAAACATACATGCACCTATAAATAACCGTATTAAAATGTATTATCAAAGACCTAATATGATACTAAACATAATATAATGTGCCTTATACTCAATACTCATTATCCCAACGAGATGTGCTCCTAAGTGTGCAATTTATATTCTAGGTACGCGCTAAATAATTCCATTAGTCGTGCAATATAAAACACTACGGACTCTTTAATGGTGGTGAGTATTAAAAACCCGTGTTACAGACCTTGTCAAGGACATGAGATGGATTAACAACTTTCGTGTAGCACTGTTAATGGTATTGTTGCAAGTTGCAATATAACTAACAATAATGCAGAAGAAACGAATCGAGAGTTCAGAACTTCACTGAAGCAATGTAATACATTGTCCCTAAGAACTGATTCAAAGAAACGTTAAAAATCATATCATATCCTTAGAATTCTATCCTTGATATCAAAGCAGTTTAAATTCGAACGACAAACGATTAACTACTCTAATGACATATAAGAGCAAACAAAATTCAAGCCATTGGTATCATCAGCATCGAAATTAAACTGTATATAGCCATAAAACCATTTATCATTTGATACAATTTCAAGTTTCCTTTTACTACACAACCAGAAAACGACCTTCTACAATATAACAGTATACAAGTATTCATCTGAAAGATATATGTTAGTCTTGTATTTCGAGTATTAATATTTAGACCTTGTTGCATCCTGCTTTGCAAGAAATGATATCCTGATTATCTAGTTATCTAATGGGTTGAAATTCTTACGAAAAACGGGCAACCAAAATTCAAGCCATTAGCATAATCAGTATCAAACTTAAACTATACCCAGCTAAACCTATTGCTAAAATTTCAAGTTTCGTTTTACTACACGACCAGAAAACAACCTTCTATAATATACTTGTATACATATGGTATGCAAGTATTCATCTAAAAGATATATACTAGTCTTGTATTTCGAGCATCAATATTTAGACCTTGTTGCATCCTGCTTTGCAAGAAATGATACCCTGATCATCTGGTTACCGAATGGGTTCAAATTCTCGCGAAAAGGATTAACTACTTTAATTATACTTTAATGAGACAAGTAAAATTTAAGCCATTAGTACCATCAGTATCAAAATTAAATTGTGCATAGCCACAGATCTAAAACCATTAATCATTTGATAAAATTTCAAGTTTCCTTTTACTACACAACCAGAAAACGACCTTCTAAAATATAACAGTATACAAGTATTCACCTAAAAGATATATATTAATCTTGTATTTCGACCATTAATATTCAGACTTTCATGCATCCTGCTTTGCAAAAAATGATATCCTGATTATCTAGTTATCTAATGGGTTGAAATTCTTACGAAAAACAGGCAACCAAAATTCAAGCCATTAGCATAATCAGTATCAAGCTTAAACTATACCTAGCTAAACCTATTGCTAAATTTTCAAGTTTCGTTTTACTACACAACCAGAATCCAGTATCCAAGTATCCAAGTATTCATTTGAAAGATATATGTTAGTCCTGTATTTCGAGCATTAATATTTAGACCTTGTTGCATCCTGCTTTGCAAGAAATTATATCCAGATTATCTAGTTATTAAACAAGTTGTGTAAAAAAATGTACCCAAGTTTAAAACGATAATACTTTAGTTTAGGTCCAACAAAATCAAAAAAGAAAGTTATCTACATTCAAACCTTCGCAAAATATAATAACGTGCACAATTTTTATTTTACAGAAGATATTACAAAATGAATCAATCTGCGACATATTCAATTAAAATACTTGAAATTGATGTTGAAATGCCGGGGAGAATCTAGAACATCATACCTTTCGCTAGTGGCATTGCATTCCATTTATAAACGACACTTATCAGAATTAATCCAATTAGAATTTTTGCATTTTTGTACCTGGAACAGGATTGAAATTGCACTATTTATACTCGTATATAACAGCCCTAGCTGAAAAAGAGTTAATTCATTTCTACTTCTATCTAGTATATCAGATACAAGTTACAAAAAAAAATATTTTTAAAATAAAGTAAAATTAGTAAAATATAGTAATGAGTAAGCAAAAAAAATTAAGAAAAATAAAAATATATGTGAAAATTCAATCAACCCAGAATCGGTTAATTATCAGACTTCTAATACCTATGAATATAAACGAGAAATTTCCGTTGTCAATATTGTAATAAAAAGTATTCCGGATGAACCAAAAGTGCTTCTATTTGTCAATACATTGAAGATTACCCTTGATACACTTCACAAAAGAATTCGCAAATGATGTTTTCTGCAAAAAATATTCCTTATTTTTTCATCTCACTTGAACGTAATGTAACTCAATCTCGTTGAAACTTTTTTGAAGAAATATTGAAGCCCATTAAGTTCTTGTCGGTGCTTCTATTTTATAACAAAGAAATTGATATTTGCAAGTTTATATCAAATAATACCGTTTTGGCACCGTTGTATTGTTGCAATGAAGAGACTTTATTTGCAAACTACCGTTGTTATGATTTGCATCGGCCTATTGAAGATATTTTTTGCCTCAATATAATATAAAAGCAATAAAGTATAATATATACGACCTTTTATTATTAGCTTTATATACACCTCGGTTTCTTATGAAAAACTCGTATTTTCATTGTCCCAATTTTGTGCTTATAGGGTTCGCGGCGAAACGATTCTGCTTGGTGTACTATGCTGAAACCGCCAGACTATAGGAGTTTATGTAGCTTCG